CGATGATGTTTCTGCTGTCAACATTTGAGTAGCATAGACAGCAGAAACATCATCACAGTACACATCTCACCCTGGGGATCTCCAGCATTTGCAAAAGAAGCCCAGAAGAAGCAAAAGAAGCACAATTGTGCTTCTTAGAAGTGGCTTTTGCATGTTGCTGTGCAACAATCCATGTGATAGTCAAGCCTAGTGGCCCTTCCATTGCTATTTGATCTCTTGTTGTGCCTAAAAGTGCCACCGGGGCCACAAACCACCAAATTATTGCCACACAAGCTACAGACATTGCATGGTCTCGCAAAAATCACTGTAATTCGCAGAGTAATCAAGTCTATCATAGTCATATCTGGCTCCCATAACATTGATGTCACTAGTCCCATAAATCATCAAATACACTAAACTGCACCCCTTTTCCCACATTAAGCTGTGCACACAGTAAATCAAATCAATCTGCCAAACTAAAATCACCTGTTGGAGCATATTCACATCTATTGCACCATATATTAATATCAATGGTTGGGATTGCTATATCCCACAGGTTATTCTATAGTCATCGTCGATGTGAAGGAGTATATGTTATGGACACTTTTTCTCTTTTCTTATCTCGTATATCTTTTCCTTCCCTTTGTCTTTACCATGTTTCTAGTCAGTTGCGTCTCCCTAGACTTCGGCTCAATCACTTCCCTCTATAACATTCTTAAATGTTATATGCGTATGTACTTTTTTCTTATGTAAACGTAGGTTATTCCGGACACGTCAGTATTCTCCTTGGACACATAGTATTTCTGCAGGACATGTATTTCTTCCATAAACACATATTCTCTTGGCTTACAGAGTTTTGCATATTTGTTTTCATATTGTGTTTCCGTGCACATTGTTTTGCCGGATTTGTTCCAAGCAAAGTGTGACAGGGCCTGGGTCCGCCAGGGTCCGCCAATGCCCGAGGGTGCTCTGTCACATATGCCGCTCTCATAGGCTCTCACTCGCCTCGTCAACATCGACATTCACACTTCCTGGTCTTATTCCCAACTGTACCTCTCCTCCCTCACCCTTTACTCAGGTGGCTCATGCAGTCTTGCTTCAAGCTTAACTTGAGCTACTGCACTCAAAGTTGCATTACCACAACCATCGTCAACGGTCTCGAGAGTCGAGATTCTCGATGCATCTCAGACATTTCCCCTGACAATTGAATAAATGGCGACTTAGGAAGGATTGTCATCTTTGTGGATGGGGTTTTGTTTCATGGTGAAACACATCATGTATGTATGTCGCACCCTATTTGTTGTGACTGACTGCTCCCATCAAGTCCTTCCATGTTCTAATATATTTCGCCTATAGACAGTCGCAAGGTCACTACAGTCTGCACACCGAGGAGTCCTGTTTATTGGCAGTCATGACGTTCTCGATGACATTGAGGGTGTTTTGTGTGAGTCTTGATTCACGGCCTCTGTTTTTCTCCATCTCATCATCCCCTGCCCGCCATCCTTTATAAACTACCTTCTCTACCCCACTGCATTCCCCACTTTTGTCTTAATCACCATCTCCAACTTAGCCTGATTTATTTCTTGCAATCCACAGTCTTGACGACCATCATGAACCCAAACACTGACCATACTCCCACTGCTCGCACAAACCTTTCGGTCTCGGAATGCTCGATCATCTGCCCCATCTCCCCTCTTGCTGCAATGTCAGTGACCACGCGTGCTGCAGCCCGCGATGATCTCAAGCGCACGCTAGGCCGGCGTGAGGCTATTGACTTGACTGACCACCTGTCAGTCTTGCCGCGTCGCTCACCATTACCGCGTCTCCCATCAATGTCTCCTCCACTCGACCTTCCCGAAAGTAGGTTTTTGCCCCCTATGTTTCACTTTTTGTGCTGACCATCGTTTCCGGTAGTCGGCGAGATCCTCCAGAATGTTCCCACTCGCACTATCAGTGCTGCAATGGTGTCTAATGGGGCTGGTGCGTGCTCCTTGAGTCTGGTCACATTATCCAGTAAAACTCAGGTTCCATTACTAGGTCCATCCAATGCAACCTCTCCCTCTCGCCCTGCCAGCACGCCAAAGCATAATGCTTACTATGATAGGGTGGATCATGGCGGTACGTTCTCTGTCTTGAGTAGGAATTCGTGAATGATAATTGACATATTATCCAGGTTCTCCTCCCAATGAACAGGCCAAAATCTTGTGTCGGTAACTGTCGTTTTCGCTGAAGAGACCGCTGGAGCGACTGCCAGGTCTAAAACCAAGGTGAAGAAGGTGACCCGTACGAAGTCCGATCACGTCAACATCATCGACCTTGATCGCCTTGGTTTCCTCCGCACGTGTCTTGCCTTCCAAGACCTTGACAGTCAGTATGACCTTACCCTCTTATGTGGGCCAGAGTATTGGTTCCGGTCCGAGCGTCACCCGTATGTCCTAGTTATTTCATGTGCCATAGCTCTTGTCTAATACTCTTTGCAGCGGTAGTAAGACCTGTGCCCCAATCTATCAGGAATAGAAGCTCAGAGGGGGCTGATGGCCCAACACACACAGACACAGACACAGATATGGGGTACAGAGACAAGGGTAAGGGTATGTACATGGACGAGTTTTTGCAACCTAACCCTAACCCTAAACTGGGAGAACTCCGAACTGTGCCACAGTGGCCCCACAAACGTCCGCCACAACCACAACCGACACAATCATCACGACAGACCATGATTACAATGTCATCAAGCACATTATTCTCAAGAAACCCGTCTTTGACATACCTCAATGTGATGCTCGACCTCGACAACATTGCCCGTTACAAGATTCGACAGAAGAGAGTGAGTTTTGTTTCCTGTTTGAGTTTTCTTCCCGGTTTTTTGTCCGTACAATGAGGTACTGATACAGCACCTTCTCCACTAGATCTGTGCCCTTGATGATGACTCAGATCCCATCAGACCAGACTCAGAGCTCATGAGGGGAACACGCGTGCCACACCTGGCCGGCCTCAGTGACAACGACTGCCTGCATGGCACACTCAATCTGAAGCTGAGGAAGCAATGGGAATGTCACGAGCACCTTGGTGAGCACGGTCAACCCAGAGTCTGCTACGTAAATGCACTGGGCAAACACATTGGGGTGAATAACTGGAGGAGCAATGTCTGGACCACCGCTATAGTGAGCCCCTTTTGCTTCCACTTGATAGCTCTTCCTACGTATGATCCTCATTATTGTTACAGTCTTTTACCAGTACTCTAGACACCACTACTCACCTAGACACCTGGCCTTTATTGTACTCTGGGTCATTTTTTACCGCTTCTCAGGACTTAAATAGATCTGTGGGGGATAATAATAGATAGTGTGAGCATATGTGGGTACTTTTTTCGTCAAGGGCGGTTCTCAGTCAGGTGGGAAAAAATTCGTAAGCTTCGGGGCTGCCCGTGTCTGAAATTTTGAGGCCTCGAAAGATGGTCGGTATTTTGATTTTCTCCACACAAGTATGGTTTCTTTTGCTTGTTATATGTTACATGACCCCTGAGACGTGCCTGAAGACATTTCTAGGCCATAGTATACCGGGAATCAACTGTGAGCTACAAAATAATGCACTGTGGCTCCCAATGGGCTTCGGAGAGTCACAATGTGTCACATGATGTTCGCCACCGGTCACAGCTGGTTCCGCGTGACACGCATGGCTACCTGGCCGCTCACTCGTGTCTTTCGAAGGGCTGAGGGCTCGCAGCCTCATTTACCCTTGCTCTCAACTTTCACCCCAACACATCCTCATTCTCCAGTTCGTCCAAGACGAGGAGCGCGTTTCCATCCAAAGAAAATACCTGGCCAAATGTACTACCTCTGTACGCGTCAATAGACTCTGGTACAACACAAAACAGATGGCAAATGAGTGAATGTGACATATTTTACAGTGGGGAGAGGGTAGAGCTGTAACTCACAAGTGAGATATGCATGTTTACTTCATAAAGCACATTCCTGCCCTCGCATCACTATCAAACCAATATGATAGCTAACCACCTAGAGTCTTTTGGATCTGATTAGGGGCTCACCCATAGATGATAAACCAGGTCTCAGACGAATTTCTGGGCCTCCCAAATAATTGGGATACACAAAACATGGTGAGACACCTCATAAATATACCAAAAAAGGAATATATTCGTGTCTGGGTATGTATGCAGGTTGTTCTGGGCCAGTCCATGTACCCAGAAATGTTTCAATATGTTACATCAGTACTCATGCCGGTTTCCAGAACATTATACAATGATTTGGCGAATATATAGTGAAATATATTCGAAATATACCCTGTTTTCCTCCCCACCCTCAGAGAACATGTTCTGTACAGCTTGTAGGCTTATCTAGCAGCACAAAAACCACTGTATACTCTTCATGTATGTTTTAGATGATTTACCATCAAGTCACATGAGCTAAAAACGATCTAAATTCTGCCCAGAATAATACCCAGTGGCACTGTGGCCCAGAAACACCCCTCCCTGTCCCTATATTCACAGAGGGACATTCTCATCGGTTTATCTCCATGGAAAATTCACCCAAGGGTATATCTACCTTATTCAGGTATCCCCTAGCCAATATAGACCATGGCTACATCCCAGATAGGACCTGGATCCATGTGCTCCTCCTCCCCCCCTCACTTTCTCAGTGTCCCATAGGCCCATATGGCCATATATTGTCATTCTTACGGCTGTTACATGCTATATGGATGATAGGACACTCATCCCACTCAAAAGGAACGATATCCAACCGCTAAATAATGCACCCTGCATAACTAACCCCCAGCCCTGAATATCCCCCCACTTGTTTTTGCCATATCTTGGGAACACATGGACGGATTTGTCCAAATCTGAAATATGTTCCTCATGTGCATTTATACTTATTTATCAAGGCCAAAGAACTGCAGAAATAGGCCTCCTTCATGTCGACTATTTTAGGCCACATTTTACCCTTTTATCAGCTAATTCCATCAAAACAACACCTACCCCTGCAATTCATTCACTCTGAATCACAAAAATCACAAAGTTACCAAAACACCCCCAGATCACCACATTTCCCCTACCAATCCACCCCCACAGTACCCAGTATATCAATCCCAACATCCCTGCTATTATTTCCGTATTTTTCCGTATTTTTATCGCCCATCATTCTATCCCTATTCATCTATCTATCTATCCTAGCCCCAAAGCCCATATCTAGCCCCATACATCCTCTCTATACCCTGCATACAGCTATCCTAGCCCTACTGCACCACTACCCATCATTTTCCTACCCTATCCTACCCCCTACCCCCGGTGCCACACCCCATACCCATCCACCCATTTTTTCACACATTTTCCGCCCATTTTTCCGGCCAGGACGCTCACCAGCACCATTGCTCTTTAATAAAGAGCCCTTAATAGCTCAGGTCATTATTGCTGTTTGCATATATCCTTTCCGCGGCGGGATTTCCCGAGAAATCGGGCACCTCAAAGGGCCTGAGGACTTTCGACCTGTATCTCTACGAAAACACAACATAATGACATGTAGCTGACCATTTTCCTATACTACGAAACGAGGTCGAGATGCCTACAGAAATAACGGGACGAAACGACCGCTATATTGCTCCCTCAGAAACAGGGCCCTGTGGGGCTGCTCTCTGCTCGACTTTTCGAGCCCTACTCCACAACGCGGACACATAAAAATAAGCGGACACCACAGGTCTATGCCGAACGCAATTGCGAAGGTGCGAGAGCAAGATTCGAGCGAAAACGGTTCAATTTTCACAGTGTTGTCCTGGGTGCCAGCAATGAGAGATGGCTCAGATTTCGGGCTAGGGAACGTGAATGCGTGCATATTTCGATGAACAAATTGTACGCGTCCATTCAGTGGCAAGTGGTATGACCTG